GTCGCGGCCGCCGCGGCCGCCGCGGCGGCCGTCGTCGCGGTCGCGGCTCCGGTCGCGGCGGCCGCGGTCGCGGCTCCGGTCGCGGCTCCGGCCGCGGGCCCGGTCGCCGCCGTCGCGCGGGTCGCCGCGGTCGGCGGCGGCGGCGGCGGCGCGGGCCTCGGCGGCCTCGTCGAACTCGGCGCGCTTCGCCGCGAGGCCCGGGTCCTTCATCCACGCGGGCAGGCTCGACCCGCGCCCCCTGCCGAGCGCGGGCCGGGCCGGCTCCGGCGGCGGCGCGGGCGCGGGCGGCGGCGGCGGCGGCGGCGCGTCCGCGGCGGCGAAGGCCGCCGCGGGGTCGAGCTCGCCGGCCGCGACGCGCGCGTGGTAGGCCGGGTCCGCGAGCGGGCAGCCCTGCGCGAAGTGGTCGCGGCCGCCGCAGAGCTCGCAGAACGTGCGCCGCAGCTTCCAGCGGCGCTCGACGAGGCGCGCCTTGCGCTCGTCGGCGCGCGTGCCGCGGCCGGAGAAGGAGACGGGGCAGGCGTCGCCGCCGCCGTCGGAGTCGGAGTCGCCGTCGCCGTCGTCGTCCGGCGGCGCGAAGACGCGCTCGACGGTCACGACGACCGTCGCGCGCGACCCCGGCGGCGCCGACCCGTCGAGCGCGACGACGCACGCCGACGCCGCGCGCGGCGTCGCGAAGGCGACGGTCGCGGCGCCGCGCGAGCCCTTGCGGAGCTCGAGCCGCTCGACGGGCCCGAACCGCGACATGCGCTCGCGTATGGCCTCGCGGCCCCAGCCGTAGGGCAGGCCCTTGACGTAGAGCCGCCGGCCGCGCAGCGACGCCGGCGCGTCGGGCTCCTCCGTCGACGCGTGCGCCTCGTAGGCGCCGTAGACGGCCGCGCGGAAGGCGTCGGCGGCGGCGGCGGCGGCGTCGGCGTCGGCGGCGCCGGCGCCGGCGCCGGCGACCGCGGCGGGCGCGCCGCTCATCGGCGCGGGCCGCGCTCGAGCGCTCGCAGCGCTCGCGGCGACGGACGGGAGCTCACGGCCCCCGCGCGCGCGGCGGCACCGTCGCCAGGGCGAGCTCGACGGGAGAGCCCATCACTCTCACTGAGGGAGAAGTGAGCGCCGGGCCCGGGCGGGCCCGGGCCCGGCCTGCGCCGGCGGCGTCGCGCTCGAGGTCCGACGAGGCCTCCGGCGCGGTGCGGCCTCGCGCGCGCCCGTCGCCCGGCGGCGCGCGGCCGCCGGCCTCGCGGTCGCCCCCGGATCCGACGTCGAGGCCGGGAGGACGCGCGCCGCCCGCCCGGGTGGCTTAGGCCGCGCGCGCGCGGGATCCCGGCGCCGCGGCCCCCG